GTGACAGACACCTAACCTTAACATAAAACAGCGAGCTAACAACCTACTGAGTGAAGAAACACCACTGCTAAGAACATCTTTTGTATTTTATTTTCAAGTTTGTGGTCATGTCATCTGCATCGGAGGTGTATTGGAGTCTTGTGATTGCCTCGTAGCGGTGCTAACAGCAGGTGAGCTTCCATCAGCTTAACTTAATGTCACTAACTTAGCCTCTAGTAAACCCGGTGCGGGTGTTTTTATATATATATATATTTTTTTAATTATGTTTTTATTTCTGAAGGAAACTCATTTTCATTTCTTCTTGCTTGTAATGTCTGATAATGCAGCGTTTGTGAGTGGAGCTCTGCTTTGTGTACAGCGTTACCAGGGAAACCTCGATCTCTACCGCTCACACAGCGCCTCCTGCTGGCAGAGAATGAGTTTGCATAAATATGCCACCACAAATAGAATGAAAGTCTGTGGGAAACACTGTAATGTTATTTATGCAATTTGTAAGTGCAAATTATAATTAATTATATATACCATTTAGCCAATGTAACTTTTAGCATAGCCTATTTTATTTGAAGTGTATCCCGTGTATTCTGATACATGCATTAATATTTCTCGGGGTATCCACTCACCGTAGAACTGCCCCTGGAATCAAACCCATTATTTCAGCACTTTGCTCTACTGATTGAGAATGCATTGTAAAAAATGGAGCTTTAATAATTTGAATATGATGGATTATCAACTAATTATGTACCTTCCTTGTAGGTGCGTTCAGATGTAGTATATAACGTTTTTTTTATTAACGTCAAAGTAAATTCTGTAAACACTGATTTGATAAATAATGTTGTTTTTTTTTTTTTCTTGTGCTTGCAGGTTCATTCAGATGGTCAACATTTGTGGCACCAAATGCATTGAAAGTCACAGATCAGGTGGAATTCTGGAAAGAGGGTGCAGCCTTAATCCCATCCTGCTGTTTCTCATCGGAGAGCTTGTCAACTTTTACTGTCAAAATGACTGAAATTTAACAACACCACAAACTCATTTTAACTGTATTTAATTTACACTACCAGTCAAAAGTTTTTTCATAAGATTTTTAATGTTTCTTAAAGAAGTCTCTTCTGCTCACCAAGCCTGCATTTATTTGATCCAAAGTACAGCAAAAACAGTACAATTTTGAAATATTTTTACTATTTAAAATAACTGTTTTGTATTTTAATATATTTAAAAATTTAATTTATTCCTGTGATCAAAGCTGAATTTTAGGATCATTACTCCAGTCACATGATCCTTCAGAAATCATTCTAATATTCTGATTTGCTGCTCAGAAAACTATTATTATTATTATTATTATTGTTTTTATTATGTTGAAAACAACTGATTAGTACATTTTTTCAGGTTTCTTTGATAAATAAAAAGTTCAGAAGAACAGCATTTATCTGAAATATAAATCTTTTGTAACATTCTAAATGTCTTTATCATCACTCTGGATCAATTTAAAGCATCCTTGCTAAATAAAAGTAGTAATTTCTATCATTTCTTTCCCAAAGAAAAAAATTATACTGACTCCAAGCTTTTGAATGGTATAGTGTATAATGTTACAAAAGCTTTTTATTTCAGAAAAATGCTGATCTTTGGATCTTTCTATTCATCAAAGAATCCTGAAAAAATGTACTCAACTGTTTTAAATATTGATAATAATATTAAAAAATGTTTATCAGCATATTAGAATGATTTCTGAAGGATTATGTGACACTGAAGACTGGAGTGATGATGCTGAAAATTCAGCTTTGATCACAGAAATAAATTATATTTTAACATAGATTCAAATAGAACACAGTTATTTTAAATAGTAAAATATCACAATATTACTGCTTTTGCT